TGTATCCTACCACCATATTTGTATCCTAAATTATTAAGGCATTGTTCCGACATTTTCTTGATATGTTAAAAGACATGCAGAATGTTCTTATTTAAAGGATTCAAATATCTTTTTAATGATTTTTTAGCCAATTTTCTTATTTTATATTTTTTTACATTTTAAATTTTATGATACAACAATAAATATCATCCCTCCTTCCATTTTTGCTTTTCCCCTTACCTTAGATAATGTAGGATACAAATGTGGTGACAGGATGCACTGATCGGTCGGACACACGCTAAAGCGGAACCGAAAATTCAGTAAAAATATTTTGTATTTTCATTCAAGTGTTTATTCAATTGCCACATAACATTATTATATTTATTAAAATATGTGTTACATTCTTCTTCTTTTATGTCCCGTATCTCTTCAGAATGTTGGCGATCATGTCTGTCCACAATTTCCGGTTCTTTGTGTCTCTTAATAAACTATGTCTTTTTGATATCTCTCTTAAACTTTGTTCCACCATCCATAGATAGGTAGGTTATGCTTTGTTTTCCTCTGTCTCTCTTGCCTTCAATCTATCCTGTGAGTATCAAATTTTCCAAGCCCGCTTTCCTCATTATGTGCACTAGACATTTCAACGGTCTCTTCTTGATGGTAAGTATATGTTTCCTTTTTGTTTCTATTTTCTCTCGAATGTTAAAACTTGTCGACAAAGATATTTTTTTATTGAATTTAAACGAACATGTACAAACGACATTAGTACTTGGTAGAATACCAATAAAAGATATTTTATCAAAAAAAAAAAAATACATTATTTCAATTTTTTTTTTTTTGATAGAATCATATGATAGGAAATAGAATCACATGATTAATTATAATCTGTGGAATAATATTAATACAAACGAACATGTGATTAACACAATCACTATTAATTAATCACTATAAATTATAATTACTATAATTAACTATTAATAACTATATAACTATTAATTACTGTTAATTATAAAATTAATCACTATTAATGAATACAAACGAACATGTGACTAATACAAAAGAATCATATGATTAATGATAATCTGTGGAATTAGTCAAAATCTGGAATGTGCTAGAAACGTGAAACCATCTCATTTAGCAACTGTGAGATTTTCAAAACTTCCATGGTCGGATGATCGCTTAATTCGTGAAACTGTCAATCACCATATAGTGATGACTTTTATGTCCCTCCCCCCACACAAACTCTGAGTGATCGCATGAGAATACCAGGTGCTGTAAGCAAGTATGTGCGTGTCGTATAATGGATAATGGCTCGGAATCGGAAGTCGGAGAGCCGAGTTTCAATTTCAGTCAGGTTCGTGGGGTTTACTTACTCGCAAATACTGCAATAGTTACGATAAGATATTATATAAGATTTCAGTAATTATGATGAAATACATTATAGTACTAGAAGAACTGCAATTAAAAAAGTACTGTTTGGAGTACCATTTGTACCCTGTCTTTCCGATCAGAAGCGGTGAGACTACCGCGAAACTCCACACCCAAAAAAGAACCTCTCGACTCGTTGGCGTCTGTAGCCCTTCTACACTCCTCCATGTTCTCGTGATCACATACGTAGCAGGGAGATGGGGGTCTCCTTCGATGAGTGCTTCTTCGTAAATTTGGATGGGGTTTGTCAACCTCTTCGTTTGTGTCCACAGGTTTTCTTCCGTTCGCGTTGTCTTTCGACTCTATTTCTCCTGGTTCTGCGGATGAATCATCTGACTCTGCTCTGAAAAGCAGTAGCGTACCTGAATCGTTCTCAGATGACATATCACTACTACCGTCTTCGGGAGAAATAGATCCGTGACGAGGACGAAGATCTCTGATGTGGCGTGGTATTCCACTGACAAGGATCAATTGTGGGTTATAGATCCCTGTCACTCTCCCTTTTTAAAATTGCATGCGTCGGCCAGACCGCATCTCCTACTCTGTAGATTCCGGGATCTATATGTTCAAGTGGTGGTGCAACATCGACACCCTTTGTGCTGTCACGGCTGTTGCGACATCTTTTGGCGTCACGTTATACCAATATAACTCGTCCATGATGGAACATTATGTTCTGGCGGAAATTCGCTTGATGATACGATAGCATATCTCTATGATACTATTTCCTGACGACACATACGCACACCGGAATCTTAGTCGGATGCCCCACTCTCCTACGAACCTCGTGAACATCTCTCCACATAACGCCGCGCAATTGTCGATAAGTAGCTCGACAGGTGGCCCTCTCTCGCAGAATAGAGAACTACAACTGCTGGCAGAATCTTGACTAGGTAACAGCCGCCAGATGGAAATCGACGAGCGCCACAAAGATTTGACTACATGGATTTGCAGATAGGTCCGACGCAGATCCACCACGCCGCTCCCTCAATACTTGTGCGCAAATATCCGCATTAGTTGTGTATGCGTCAACATATTGATTGAGTTATCGATAATCCATAACAGGGCGGACCTTTTGCTTATTTTCTTGCAGTACAACCATTAATGGGATTAGGCCCTTGGAGGGGTTCGGCCTCTTCCTCACAGTTCAGAAGTAGACAACCGTTATCTATGCAGGTGTGCAGTTCGTGAGGGTACTCCTCTCTGAGGTGCTTCGGTGCAGGATACTCCGGTATCTTGTTCTTTAGCCTGGTCACCAAACCACTTCTACGATAAAACTAAGATCTTCCTGTTCAGGCAATATTCTGCATGAAAGTTGGGCTCATTGATGGTGATGGCTACACACAAAGGTCGGTCAAGTTGAAGAAAACTCACAGTGTCACTGATGGTCACACACACACACGCACAAACACACACACACACTACCAAACTTCAACTCCAAGCAACAGGTCGTACCCCAGTAGCTTCCTGTCTACAACCAGAATATCAACATTGATAGCTCACTTGTCGCTCACACCAAGTTGAACAAGTCTGACCCCACAGCACCTAAAGGTCTCATCAGTAACAGTGAGTTAACCGCAAGGAACCCGTGTCCAACAAGGCTGCACTCTTGATCCCATTGATGCGTACAATAACCGCAGGTAGCGTCTCATTTAAATGTGTTTCGGGGAGCAGATTGACACTGAAGTCTCTTCCCCTGGCTTGTTTCCGGATATGGCCTATCTCGTCGCACCTGTAGCAGCGTATTCGGGGCTTCCGCCTTTCGACGTGTCGTTCCACGTAGTCATTTGTAAAATGATTAACACCGTTGCAACGACGTCATGTTGCGGTATCGCGTGGATGCCCGATAGGAAGCTACTTCGTCCCATCCTGTATCTTTCGCACCGACGCAACCCCGTCCTTCATAATTTCCCGCTCTCGAGCCAACTGCTAGTGCGTCCATCCGAGTCGAAGCGCGAAGAAGCCGCTTCACCTGCCCTGGCAATCCCTTTACGGACACACATACCAATCCGCGGTCACTCATTCCGCTGAATAATTCGCAACTCCGCCAAACATACGTTGACCAATTCCCCGCGACGGAGCCGTCGCTCGGTGAATTGTTCACACGCCACGAACCCATCCATCGCAAAAGCCGTATACAATGCGGATTTTATTCGGTTAATATCCGCTCTTTACTCTTCTACTATCTGCTGGTAGACAGCAAGAGCTCCACCCGACAACCTTAAAGGAATCATGCGTTCGTTTTACACCGTACATCTTGCATACAAGTTTCACCTTTTCGACCCATTCGACCACAGACGGTAAAAAAATACGGCTGTGCGGAGTACAAGTTGTACTTTGTCTTTTCGATCACAATCGGTGAGACTATAGCGAAACTCCACATAAATCGCGACCTCTCGACTCGTCGGCGTCTGAAGCCGTTCTACAGAAGGTGATATGACTGTATAGCAATTATGATAAAGTGCTTCATACGAAAAGAGTTGTTATGATATGAGAATACAACATTACGATATAATATTGTTTCAGTGCAGCACTTGGTGAATATTTCTTATCTGTGAAAGGGAGAAATGTCCTTTGTCTTTTGCATTATGTATAGATGAACATTTTAAAGCATCTAAAATTTTACTCGACTAATGCATGAATATATGTATGATTTTGATAATCACAACAAAGCGCAGGAATCCTATTGTTTGAAGTTTTCAATAATAGCCTCTCCTGTTGTTAATATTCATAAGCGCTACAAAGAACAGGAAATAGTGGAGAGATATGATCGCCAATTGTCTCTCTGTCTCGTCCCATCCCGCAAATAGATTCTTTCGGACAATATTCTGATTTTTTTTTTTAAATTATTACATTACCGTTTCTTATGGCAGTGAATGTTGGACAATCTCATCACAGGTGAAGAAGAGGCGTAAGACTACAGAAATATGGTACTACAGAAGGATACTGAGAATAATATGCAAAGCCAAAGTTTTAGAGAAAATGGAAATAAAAAGGATCCTTTTACTTAACATCAGAAAGCGAGAATTGAAATTTTTAGAGCACATAATGAGGAAAGTGGGCTTAGAAAAATTTATACTGACAGGACATATTAAAGAC